GTTTTTCCAGGTTTTTCTGAAGTCAGCCTGTTCATCATTTCTTATAGCACAATAGTGTTCTGTTACATTCATATACCACAACTTGTTCAGCCATTCCCCAATTGATGGCTATTCTCTCAGTTTTCAATTCTTTGCCACCACAAAAAGAACTGCTATAGATATTTTTGTACATGTGGGTCCTTTTCCCATTTGTATGATCTCTTTGGGATATAGCCCTAGAAGAAGCACCTACTTTGTGCAGAGCACTCTTTACCCAGGGCTCTGAAAGAGACATAAAATTTAGATAGGACATAGACCCTGCTCTCATGGAGCTTACAACTGTTTAGGGGAATCAGGAAGAGTCATAGTTAATCACAGTATCTAATAAGGAATGTGATGTGAGGCCCAAAGGTGGGAGAAATCACTGCTTACTTGGACAAAGGGAAGATTTTATGGATAAGACATTTGATCTGAGCTGTGCATAATTTTGCATATTAAATCTTGGCTTTGGATTTAACTGATGTTTGTGGACTGCATTTTAAGCTGCCTAACAACAGTGCCTCTCTTCTTCCTAGTTAGTATCCTCACCCACTCTTTGGTGTCTGCTGGGGCTATTTTAGCCCCAATGATAGTTAACAAAATATTAATTTAATTGAAGGTGATGATCACAGATGATTGAGTACTCATTTTTTTCCTCTCTCTTTTTTCTTTTACCCTTCTATGTCCTGGGCTTCCTGCTTTCTTTTCCCCACTTTTCTCTTTCTGTTAAAATGATAGTCACAGCACTCATGGGCACATCTATATGGAAGTATGTTTTTGTTTAAAAACTCTTTTTTGGGACTGTGGGTACAGATTTGTAGAGATGTCTACATATTTCCTCTTTAACAAATTGACTTCAGAAAAAACTTTCTGGACATCCTAACATTGTCCAGTTCTGCTCTGCTGCATCAATAGGAAAAGAAGAATCAGATACTGGACAAGCTGAGTTTCTTCTGCTCACTGAACTCTGCAGAGGTAAGATTTTCCTCTGGGATATCTGTATTTGTGATTTTTTTTGTAGTTGTAAAATACATGTGGGCATTATTAGTGCCGACCAGCTCGTCTTAAAAAATGCTTAAGTCTGAAAAGGCAAGTCTGGTTTGAACCTAGACTCCACTGTCTACCAGAAGAGATACTCTTTGTTAGTATGCAGTTACTCCAAAGAGTGTGTGGAAACATGTGTATTTACTTCTTGGTTAATAAGATAGTTTACCCTACCAACCCTCTCTTCTCACTGGGGTTCTCTTCTCTTGGCTGCTCAGTGTTCATTGTTTGCTTTTTGTGAAATGTTTCCACAAATAATGCTTTAAACATTTAATTAAATGTTTTTGAGCACCTTTTTTGGGCCTCGGCAGTATATAGTTCATTAGGTGCTTTGGGGTTGCAGAGGATGAGATATGTGATCAGTAAAGCCTGTAGAATTGTGAGGTATTATGTTAAGGCATTGTGCCTGACCTTAGGGAGCTCGTGGGCTGCATTGCAGAGGTAAAACAAACAGGTGGCAGATCAGGGGCTATACAAGCCATTAGCACTATCCTGGAACCCTGAAGGTCAGTATTTGATGATTTGTCACTGAGGAATGTGATTTATCAGGGTGGAGTGGGCCAGAGTTGTGAATGTTTATAAAGTAATGATGTGTATGCTGGTTTGGGCACATTCTCTTGCTGGAGGACTTAAATGTGGACAAAAGTATATGTGTTTGGGTGGGGCTGGTGGTAGAGGGAAAGTGGGAGGCCCAGGAGGGACTAAAACTCTCTTTGACACTTTTTCTTCCTTCTTCCATCTTTGTCTTCCTCTTTGTATTCATCATTTTCATTCACAAATCCCTCAGAAATCTTCCCCAAAACAAATAGCTAAATCCAGTGGATAGGTCATAGGATCATAGCTCTAGTGGGGCCTCTGGAAGGAACTCCAAGAATGAAGATTTGGATAGTCAGCAATTTATATTTTGGCTATCTTTTCAACCACATGTCTCCTCTTTTTGTCCCATTCCATTTTAAAACAATCCTATAGAAAGCCTTTTTATGCCCATTTTATCCTTGGTTTTGATTAATTTTAATGAGTTTATTAAGCACCTACTATGTGTAAGACATTCTGCTGAGAATGCTTTGCACTAAAAAAAGCTTCATGTGATTCTAAGTTTAATTTTCTAGAATATCTGGAAGAAAAGAAATGAAAATATATGTGAAGAGTTCCTATTGCTCTGGTATATATCCCTGTATCATTTCTTAATTTTCAAAAATATAAGTTATCAGTTTATAAAATATTTTATAGAATTACCACATAATTTTTATTTTATTTGTTCTTAAGTGTTCTGAAAAAGAAAAAAAATGTAGGTATATGTGAGAAGCAGACTGTTATAATTTGTCACAGTATTGTTTTTTTAGCTAATGATGACACAGAATGCATGTTAGTAGTAGGGAAAAAAAATAAAATTTGAATTAATTAGAAAAACAGTTATATGAAGATAAATAAGTTCTTAAATTTGCAAAAGAATGGAAAGTGAACAGTTTTTATATTGTGAAAGATTTATGGTTAATCTTCTTAACAGGGAATTCACGGAATTTAATACTTAGAAGAGACATTAAACACCATTTAACCCAACTTCTACTTGAGTAGGAAATCCCCTACAACATTATTGAAGACCTTGATGGTTAGCCTAGCTTGAAGTTAGAGAGATCTTTTCCATTAACTGAAAGGCATGCTAAGAGTAAAGAGGACATTGTCTTAGGCCCCAGGAAAGGCTTGTGTACACAGGGTGAAAATTGTTCTGTTTCCCAAATGGGCTTATTTTGAATGTGAACTATGGACACACAGATTTTTCCTACCCCAGTCCAGTATGTGACAGTAGAATACCACCAGTGCCTTTTTTCAAACTGTTTTCTTTTGTTTTTTTCATTGTCATCTTTATTTTGAAATGTATCCTCTTTCTCTTCCCCTATCCAGTAAGCCATCCCAAAGAGGAAAAAAAGAAAGAAAAAAAAGCTTTTCAGCAAAACTAACTAGCATGTCAACTGAATTTGGATGTGGAATACTGCTTACATTGCCATAGTCCTTTATCCGTGGCAAAGAAGAGGGAGGAAGATGCATTTTTTCTATTTTTCTTCCGGCCAAAACTTTTTGGTCATTGTAATAACACAGCATTCAGATTCATTTTGGGAGGAGATTCTTTCCATTTACAAATGCCTTTTAAAATGCAAACCTTTCTCTACATTTTGTATCATTTTTTTCTAATTCATTTTCCATCATACTTCATTCTTGATCTGTTTCTTAACCATTGTTGAGAATATTTCTTTTAACCTCTTGTAAAGTCTCATCATGCCTCTTCTTCTCAAAGTTAGGTCCCATGGATTTCATCTTAGGTAGGAGGAAATTGGTGCTCTGAGAAGGGAAGGGACTCCCTGTGATCACATAGCTAGTTAGTACCATATCTGAATCCCCTCTAGCTATTGGAGTGCACTGCTGTTGTGAGTGAGATAACTAGAGCATCTACAATTCAGATTCTGATTATGGCAAGGAAAAACACTTTACAGAATCACTGGCCAGTACATTTGGGATCAGTTTGCTAATAGGAGGGATCTTTGACAGGAATTTTCTCAAGGGATATGAAATGGATATAATTTGGTAAGACGTGATAGATTATGGTTTTCAGTTTCTATAGAATTAGAATGATTTACATCAGTGCTTCTTAAAAACGACTGATTGTATTCATTTTCATCCTGCCTCTGTGCTGCTGACCTCTTTTCTCTTAGAATGATTTTCATGCAGTTTTAATTTACCCTTTTTCCTCCAGTGGAAGTTGTATTAAAGGATTGTATGAGGGTCAGTTAACTCTTGATTATTGGGGTTTATGTGTGTTTATGTGTGATAGTTGTTAGGAGAGTATTGTATGGGGCACAGAAGGTGCCAACCCTCTGGAAAACCTGAGGAACATCATAGCTTGGAAATATTTGAGAACTGAATTGCAACAGCTCTCTTATATTTTTCTAGAGGGGCAGAGGGTCTAGAATATGGCAAATACCTTCTTTGGGGGTTCCATGCTGTCTGATTCATTCTCATGGTTAGGTCTAGAATCCTTTTCAAAATAGTGTCACTTATTATTATGTACATTATCTATATTTTTAATTATTTCATGTAACAATTACGCAGTTACTGAACATTTGAAAAATGCATGGCTCTGTGCTATGCACTTAGTTTTGTGTATCTGAATTCTGTCTCCCTTGAATGCCCTTGTGATTGCCATAAATCCAAGGGGAAAACTTTTATCTTTTTGTCTCCTGTAATTGCTGGTGATATCTGAACCCAGTTCTTTCACTGCTTTGCCCTAATTAGACAGCTTGGATTCTTGTTCTTTGTTGCCCTCTTTTAACTGTTGTTGGCCTTTGTGAATGCCTTGAGCTTAAAAGAGTTCCCGTTTCTGTTTTTCCCCCAAGTTACCTATGGAAATATTCATCATTACCACCTCTCCTATTCCCAAATCATAGAATTGTTTGTCCCAAGCCTCAGGTACTATTTAGTATTTTTTAAAAAATGTTTTATTTTGGCTTTTACAATTTTTAATTTGAAATATATCCCTCCCTCATTCCAATGAGACATCCCTAAGTTTGATGTCATCTTGCATGCTTGTTCACGTTTCTGTAAAGTGAAACGTTTGTGCATCTTTTTTATTCTCATTCCTTTATTTGCTTTGATTTTCTTTACTAGCCTATAGGAGTAATTGATGACAGTTGGAGGAAGAAATAGGAAAAGTGAAAGCCATCAGTAATCTATAAACTGATTAATCAGTCCCTGAACAATCCAGAATAATAAGCCATGGTTCTGTACTTGTGTCCCAGAGAAATTGGGGTGGATTTCGAGAATGGAGAGAAGAGGTACAGAGGTAGTGTGGTGACAAGGAAGTTCACAAAATATTTCATGTTGCTAAACTTTGTCCAGAATTCAGAGCCGCAGGAACTCAAAAGTGCCCTGTCTGGGATGAGCCTTGCTCACAACTGAAGTGGTCTCAGGCACTAAGCTGTAGATAAAGCTCAAAGCTTTGAATACTTTTTTAATAGCTGGGTAGTTGAGTTATATTGATTCATCAAGTATTTTACAGTATTATAGTTTACTAGAATAAGCCCGTGTCACTGTGATTTGTCTACTGGAACAGTGCCTGTCTTGAGATATCTGTCTAGATGGTACTGGTCAAGGATGGCCCAAAGATGTAATGTTAAGTCACTGTAGCCTAATGGAGCATAGTTAATGCAGAAACAGGTTTTGTCTTTATCCTTAGCTCACCCATGGCCCAGCTCCCAACTTAGTAGCAGCCCAGAAATTGGTCCAGTTTTTGGGAACGAGGAAATGCATGTCTTATGTCCATTTTTGTTCAGTTGATTTGTGACATCATGGAATAATTACAAATCATACTAATAAAAATACTATATTTTTGTCAGTTTATTTTCTAACATACAAGTTAAAGATAATAGATCATATGTTTTAGATTTGGAAGGGACCTTGGAGGCCATCTAGTCCAGCCTCATTTTAAGCATATGAAAACTGAGGTCTTGAGATGTTAAATGACACAGAAGCATCAGAGGATGGGTTTGAGCCATCAGAAGATGATGGCATGTGAATTTATGGAAAGGAGAATAAGCATTTCGCATCTGAAATATGATCCTCTGACGTGAGAGGCCTGTATAGCTCTTTTCTGCTGCTGTACAGTTGTTTCTGTCGTGTCTGACTCTTTGTGACCCCATTTAAAGTTTTCTTGGTAAAGATATTGGAATGGTTTGCCATTTCCTTCTCTAGCTCATTTTTATAGATGAGGAAACTGAGGCAAATAGTGTTAAATGACTAGTTACATAGCTAGTAAGTGTGTAAGGATGGATTTGAAATCACAAAGAGGAGTCTTCCCGACTTCAGGCCCAGCACTCTATCCACTGTGCCACCTAGCTGCCCTTATAGCTCTTTCCACCTTGGTGCTAATAATCACAACTCATTTTTATAATGTCCTTTCTTATAACACTGTGAAATTGGTTGTGAAAGTGTTATTATATCTATTTTGAGGATGGGAAAAATGAGCCTTAGGAGCGGCTAAGTACTTTCTTATATCATTATTTGGTATTATAAATGGTATTAGAATGTAGTCCTGTGACTACTCTTCCCACTGTACTATGCTGGCTCTGATACTTAGCTATATACCTGTGCCTGATTCTCATAGTGAAATGTTTATGTATTTTTCTGGAAGTCAAATCTATCCATTTCTCCCCACTCAAATGGCGGACACTCAAGTTCAGGTCCTAATTACTTCTTGCCTGGGATATTTCAGTAGCTTCCTAATTCATCTCCACGCCTCAAGTCTTTCCCTTCTCCCTTTTCCCTTCTATGAGGCAGTTGGTGGGGCAGTGACTGGAGCGCGGGGCTGAGAGTCAGGAAGACATGAGCTCAAGTCCAGGCTCTGGCGCTTACTAGCTGCTCGATCCTGGGCAAGCCACTTCACCTCAGTTTCCTTATCTCTAAAATGGGAGTAATAACAGCCTCTATCTCTCAGCACCAACCTCAGGGTTGTGAGCGTCAAATGAGATAATATTTGTAAAGTATTCAGCGTGGTACCTGGCATATAGTAAGCTCTATATAAATGCCCTTTCCTTTCTTCCTACCACCCTCTTTCCCTTCCTCCCTCCTCCAATCTATCCTTCACATGACTAACTGCCTGAGTGATATTCTAAAGTATAACTTTGATCGCGTCACTCCTGCTCAGGAAATTCTAGTATCTCCTTTTTATCTCTAAGATACGAGCTCCTTTGTTTGGCATTTAAGAGCCTTCATAATCTTGCTTCGTGCAATTTTCGCAGGCTTATTGCATATTTCTTCCCTTTGTAAGCTCTACCATTCAGCCAACCTGGCCATTTTGGTGTTCCTCACACCTAACATTCCATCTCCCATTTCCATTTCTTTGCATAAGCTGTTCTTTGTGTCTGGAATAAACCCTCTTCTTACCTTTGTGCCTTAGAATTCTGAATTTCCTTCAAAGTTCAGAGCAAACAACCCCTTCTACATAAGGCCTTTGCTGATGACCTGAGCTGTAAGTGTCTCCCTTTCCATCCCATTACCTTCTATGATATTATCTATGTTGTGTCTGCAATATATATATATACATACATACATACATATGTGGGGGTGGGGACTGTTTCATATTTATCTTTAAATTCTTGGCATATGATAGATGCTTAATAAATGTTGGTGGATTGTTTGGTCCTACAGAAGGCAGAATGAAGGACTAACTAAAGACCTCTCTTGAGCTGTTTTCTTCACAGTCTCATATACCACCTGACCTTTCTAACAACCAAATTCATAAAAACAGACCTTTTAAAACCAGTCACATTGTTGAAAGTGTTCAGAGAGGACACACTTAAAAGTGAAGTTAGACATTTAGCTGACTATTAGACCCCTAGAGTGTGTGGGGGAGGGGGAAGGAAGGGAAAAGGAAAAGGAATTGTGATATCAGCATTATTCTAGAACCCCCCCCTTTTTTTAGAGAACTGTAATTTTTTTCATCAGCCTAGAATATAGCTATGCTTTCATAGAATTAAAGACACTAGTTGTCTAGCTTCCAGACTTCACGACTAGGAGCAGTAGCACTTTTCGCTACAAAGTGCTTTCATTTATGTTATCTTGGTTGCTTCTCACACTAACCCTTTGAAGTAAGTGGTATAAGTAGTATTTTCTTCATTTTATAGATAGTAGCTTAAGATTCAGTGCAATTGGGGCAGCTAGGTGGCGCAGCAGATAGAGTACTAGCCCTGAAGTCAGGAGGACCTGAGTTCAAATCCAGCCTCAGATCAAACACTTGACACTTACTAGCTGTGTGACCCTGGGTAAGTCACTTAATCCCAATTGCTTAAAAATAATTAAAAAGATTCAATGCAATTAATTGTAGCTTATGACCAGGAAGTGCTTGTACTAGGATTCAGATTCAGATCTTGGTATCTCTTCTCTTTCCACTAGACAGTACAGTGGTATTGCCTCAACTAGATTACTGAACTTCGGGTACCAACTCTATCTTCCCAGAGTGCTGAGCTTAGTAGGGCTTCCACATAGCAGGTACTCAAGAAGTTGCTTGCTTTTCATTTACCTAGGTCTCTTGCACTAGGGAAGCAAAACTGACTTTCTGCTTTTATAAGTACTCATGGGAGATCATTTTTAGCATTCTGAAAACTCCTGTAAGATAGAGGAAACATTTTTAGCCAATTTGTTGGTGGTGATTTTTTTAGTTCACTGATAGAGTTCTATTTTAATGAACTTATGCTTGATATGTTATGTCTTAACCTCTTTGAAACTGAAACCCAGGATAGAACTGGAAAGGGTAGAGATCAGCTCGTTCCGCTGCCACGTTTGTAGATGAGGAAGCTGAAGCTGAGAGGTTGTGACTCGCCCATGGTTGTACACTTAGCTATAGGGCGTTGATCTAACGCATCTGTTGTATAGACAGTCCATATCATCTGAAGCTAGGCGAGGCTGTGTGACTTACCGAAGGTAGTAGGCTTAGTTACAGGGCATAGATCTAATGTAGCTTATGTAGATACATTGTATAGCTAGATAGAGATCAATGTAGGGGAGCTACGTTTAAAAAAATATTCAGAGGCAAATTCTGCCCTTCTGCATGTGCAGTGCTGTTTCACTTCCATGTCTTGCTTATGTTATTCTCTGTGCTCTTTTCCTTTTTAAGAGTAAGCTTCTCCTGACTCCTACAGGTATTATTGTGCCTTCCTTTTCATATGCCTCACATCATACTTGGTTTGTGACTCTCTAGTATACTTAAAGATGACTTTGAATTAGTTTTATATGCATATATATGTATATGTATATATTTGCAGTACTCTCATATACTAGATTGTGAGCTCCATGAGGGCAGGGATCACATCGTATTAAATCTTTGTATTTCCCCTGGTGGTTAGCATTGTTTTTGCCCGTGTAGTAGTAGGTACTTAAATACATATTGAAGTTAGAAGTGACTTGATAGAACTTGTAGGGTTGTAAAATAAAAAAGGGAGGCAGTAAGTTATATCTGACATCTTCATTTTTTAGGATTCCCATTTGCATAGTGATGTAAATTAAATTGACTGTCTTTTATAATAGGGCAGCTGGTGGAATTCTTAAAGAAAGTTGAATCCAAAGGCCCTCTCTCCTGTGACACGGTTTTGAAGATATTTTATCAGACATGCAGAGCAGTACAACATATGCATAAACAGAAGCCCTCTATAATCCATCGGGATCTAAAGGTACATACAGCATTTAAAAATCAGAGATGCTGAAGATTGTTATCAAGGAAGATTATTCTTTCTCTGTGGGTTTTTGCAAAAAGGTTAAATGTTTCTAGTGATACTTTATTCATCTTCAAGGCATTGAGGAATGAAGGATTGCGCAGAATTAAATTTGCCAGATAACTGAAGCTAATCCTTTACAGTTCTGAAATTAATTTGGTTTTTAGCCATTTTTATGTTTTTTTCTTTGTTTTGTTTGTTTGTTTGTGTTTTTTGGTTGGGCAATGGGGGTTAAGTGACTTGCCCAGGGTCACACAGCTAGTAAGTGTTATGTGTCTGAGGCTGAATTTGAACTCAGGTCCTCCTGAATCCAGGGCCGGTACTCTATCCACTGCACCACCTAGCTGCCCCCCAGCCATTTTTAATATATTCCTAGAATATATTATGTGCTTCCTGTCTTTATTCTTCAGTGGCTCTTTTGAATATAATACAAACTTTTCTTGATTGCTCTGGGTCATAATTTATAAACTTCCATAATTATATTGTACAATAATAAAGCAGTAAATTCTTTCTGGGGTTTATGAGAAACATAGGATTATTTGTGTCTGCATTAAATCGTCCTGCCCTACATTTATAGTTCATAGGGCTAGGGAATGTACCTGTGATTTCATGGGTAGTGAGAATTCCTGGATGAGGAGCCTCTATCAGTGCAGCATGGGCTCATGTCTTCCACTTCTAGTTGAAGAGAGCTGCCTATTTCCCTGCTAAGAGACCTGCTTTGCCCAGGGTCCCACAGTTTGAATGAGTAAGAGGGGGAGCTTGAACCCTTATCTTGCTGGTTCTGAGGCCACTTCTCAGTTCACCCCGATATACTCTGTAAGCTCCTTGGGAGGAGGGATCTTTTCAGTCCCTATATTAATATTCCCAGTGCCCAGCACATTGATTGGAACATAGAACGCACTTAACAAATGCTTGCTGATTGATCAATAGTTTATCATTCATTCCTGTTCTTCACTTTCCTGTCTGTTCTTTGAACTGCTGTTCTGTGCTTTCTTTGAAATTCTTTCCCATCTGCTTTCTTCTTGGTTGGAGCAGGCAGTTTCTGTTGAGGCTGGGAGATGGGCTGGATACCTACCTACCGAGGGTCCTTTTGTTTCTTCAGGCTTCTCTTTTTCCTGCCGGGGTTTTAGCTAATTTCCTGGTCTTCAGCTCTCTCCAGCTTCTCACTTTGTCTTACTGTGTACTGGTATACTTTCTTTTTAGCTTTTTGCTGTTTTAGAACCAAGGAGTCCGTTCCACATTCAGCCTGTTCCTCACCAGCACCGTTGTCCTCTGCATCATCTCAAAACTCCAAGTCATTTAAATTGCTTTGTACCACCACTCCAGCTGTCTCTGCTAACACTTTATTCTTATTCACCTCTTTACCAGCAAGCACCCATTTTCCACCTGTCTATTTTTTGATCCCTTTAAACGAATACTCAGGCTGTCAGTCACTTTAGACAATTCTAAATAGAAATGCTTAATTTAGAATGGCAAACCGGTGGATCTCTGCTTAATGAAGAGGATTTTAACAACTTGCCCAGGAAGACTGTTTAGGCGATACCGTAACCTGTTTGGTGGCAAGGGAGACTGGGGACAGTATTGCTGTGTACTCCATGAGAGGAATCTGGAAGCAGGCCGACATTTGCCTTTGTAGAGGCCTGTACTCTGGATCCTCTGAATACTGCCTTTTGAAAGAGATTTTGTCTTTAAATGGACCTGGGGTGTACGAAATGTGACCAAGTTTCTCTCATGTTTTTATATTTCTTAGTCTGATAGTATTTTTGTTGTGAAGAAGGTTCAAAAGACTTTAAATTCAGGTATTGGAGGCTAATTAAAAAAATTTTATTTGTACATTTTAACTAGAACCTGAAGTATGTTTACATTCTGTATTTAATTTTTTTTTGTGTGTATCTTTCCAGAGTTCGTGATAGATGTGACTGTTGGCTAAAGGAGCAGCAGTAAATGGACCATATGGTCATTTCCCAAATAATTTTTGTGACTATCACCTTAAGCTTTTTAACCTCTTTAAAATGGAGTGAGAGTATTTTAGGAAGAGCCATGTTGGAGAGATCTTAGATGCATTTTATTGAGTTATATCTCACATTCCTCTAAATCTTAGTGTTTTGTGTAGTGGTCAGGTGTGGCTATCTCCTAGATCACCTCAGACCCTTTCTCCGATACATCTGCGGCATTTCCTCAAGGATGCGGAGGCGGAGTTGTGTCTTTGTCCCAGTTTTCTCCTGTCTTCTCTTCCCTTATAGAGCATAAAGAAGTAATATTAGATCTTCCCTTCTTTTCTTTCTCTTCTTACTCAGCATAGCTAAGCCTTCGGGTAGTTTAGGTTCGTTCACCTTTTGCTTAGTCCTAGAGGCCACCATTTGGGGGGAAAAGGTCTCCTTCCTTCTTAATGTCCCCCAAGGACTATTTTTTGCTCTTGCATTCTCAGTTCATCATCTTGCTCTCCCACACTGGGAGAGGGGTCATGATGAAATTTCCAAGAATTCAGAACTGAGATAGTTTTTGTTTCCCGACTTTAGGTATGCTTCTGGAAGAAAGGAGATTTATTTTGGAGGGAGAGCATATCTAAAAATTGGGGAAGAAGCAACTCTTATTTTAGGAAGAGGGAAATTTTTAGTATCACCATAGAGTGGCTCTAGATTATCTGTTTTCAAAAATTAAGATCCATTTGACATTTTGGCCAAGCTTTTTGTGTGTCCTCTTGGTTGAAAGAAGTGAAATTCCAGGCATCCAGCTTGTTGCCTTCTTTTTCCTCTTGACTCTTTTCTCTGCCATGGCAACATTTAGTTTCATGTCCCACCCGATGGCTGCACAGCTTATAGTCCTGCTGTGTGTGACCAGGCCTCCCCTCGTTCACATACACCGCCTTGGGGTGGCAGAGCTGTTTCAGCTTCAGACCAGATTGTCTGTCAGTGGCTTTCCAAATTTTTCTATAAACGTTAGCTATTACTGTTCTTTTGTATATGTGCTCTTGGTCAGCAGCTAGACCTAGAGTAAGGCTCTCTGAGGGGAATGAGGCAAAGATGGCTTCACAAATGTCAGCAATGTAGCACAATTATTTTAAAAGTTGATATGACTTAATTTACATTTTTCTAAGTTATAATTTATCATGTCCCAATTTCATAACTACTTAAGATATTTATAAAAATTTACAGGTTGAAAATATGCTGATTAGTAACCAAGGAACAATTAAACTGTGTGATTTTGGCAGTGCTACAACTGTGTCACATTATCCTGACTACAACTGGACTGCTCAGAAGAGAGCAATGGTTGAAGAAGAGGTAAGAAATTATAGTGGAATCTTAAATATTGGTCCATTGATAAATAGAGGAAGAAAGGTTGCATGTAAAAAAATTATTTGTAATAGTTTCTTATTGCCTTAATTGCCCATTCTACCCAAACAGTGATTTAAACAATTTCATGTGGAATTAACCCAAATATGACTACAGAATTATAGGGCTGCCATTTTAACAAATCTAACATATGATTATGAATGTCTAGAAAGGTAAACTCTGATAACAGAAAACTAGCCTGTCTTCATTAAGAACAAGTCATGCCAAACTAAACTTATTTACTGTTTTGACAGTGTTACTAAACTAGCAGATAAGGAGAAAGCTGAAGATATAGTTTAACTGGATTTTAGCAAACCATTTGATACAATCTTTCATACTTTTAAAATTAAATGAATTTGGAACTAGTCAACTGAATAGTAGTCATTAATTGTTTGATGTCTGTGTTGGAGAAAGACCAGTAGACTGCCCCTGGGACCTGTGCTGGGTCTGTGCTGTTAAACATTTTTATCAGTGATATAGAGAAAATCATAGGTGACTCGCCTAATAGATTTGTAGATGACCCAAAGCTAAGAGGGAGAGTTAACATGTTGGATGACAGTGTCAAGATCCAAAAAGGTCTTGACAGGTTAGAACATTAAACTGAAGTGAATCAAATAAAATTTAATAGTGATAAGTGTAGAGCTTTAAACGGGTTCAAAAAATTGGCTTCAGAAGTATAAGAAGGGGGAAGTATGTCTAGAAAGCAGTTTGAGAAAGATTTGGTGGTTTCCTTGTACTGTAAGTCACAAAAGCTAATTTGTTCTCTGGGTTCATTAAGAGAGGCAGAGGGCCTGGGAATAAGGACAGAAAGGCAATGGAGTCCAGAGGGACTCATGATGAGACAAGGCTGCCACCCACTTCCACAGAGAGGCAGTTGACTCAGTGCAGATTAAGACTTTTTTTGGGACATGCCTAATGTGGGGATCTGTTTTGCTTGACTAAACAGGTTTGTATCATTTTTTTTTTTTTTTGCCTTTTTTCCCCCCAATTACTTATACAAATTTTTAAACATTCATTTTAAAAATTTTTGAGTTTCAGATTCTCACCCCTCCCATTGAGAAGGCAAGTAATTTGATATAGGTTATACATGCATAGTTATCCAAAATTTATTTCCATATTAGTCATGTTGTGAAAGAAAACACAGACCCCCCAAAAAAGCCCAACCCCAAGACAAATTTTAAAAGTGAAAAAAGCATGCTTTGATCTGCATTCAGACTTTATCAGTTCTTTCTCTGGAATTAGCATTTTTCATCACGAGTCCTTTGAAATTGTATGGGATCCTTGTATTTTTGAGACTGTCTAATACATAATTCTCAATACCTTCTTTCTGTTGTTTATCTCCAGTTTACCTTGTATATATCTTGTTTGTATGTACTGTTTGCATGTTGTCTCTTGCAGGTAGTAGTGAGGGAGAAGTCTGTTTCCTATTTTTTTTTTAGGGGGTGCTATTAATCCCAGTAGTTGGATTAGTAGTGTATGTGACTGTTTTTTCTGTTCCTTGAGATCTAGAACTGTTCTAATACATGAGAGATCTGAGATAGGTACCTTAACATGTGGGGTGTACATATAATGAGAGCAAATTTTACCTCCTAAAACAACCATTATTATTGAAGGCTTTATTTTGTTCTATTTAGCCAAATGGTTTTTCAGAACTGCTGAACAAAACAGAGCAAACACAGTTGGATCTTATATTTTCTGTCAGTGATATGATATGGTCTGGATGGTCCCAAACCACAAACTACAAAAGCTGACATTTCTTTAATGTTTAAATGCACTTTCTATGCATTACTCATTTAATCCCCACGACATTCTTAGGAGGGTAGGTAGTACAAGCTTTATTAGCATAGTGTTTTTAGATAAGGAAGCAGACTTTGAGAGCTTAAGTGACCCAAAAAGCCAAATATACCGGAGAGTATTTGAAGACAGCTAGGTGTTCAATGGATAGAGTGCTGGGCCTGGAGTCAGGAAGACCTGAGTTCACATGTGGCCTCAGACACTTACTATCTGTGTGACCTTGGGCAAGTCACTTTTGCCTCAGTTTCCTCATCTGTAAAATGGTCTGGAGAAGGAAATGGCAAATCCCTCCAGTATCTTTGCCAAGAAAACTCCAAATGAGGAGGTCATGAGAGTCAGACATGACTGAAATGACTCAACAATAAAAATTTGAAGACAAGTTATTCTCTTACATATTTTTTTGTTTGTTTGTGTTTGTTTGTTTTGTTTTTTAGGCAATTGGGGTTAAGTGACTTGCCCAGGGTCATACAGCTAGGAAGTGTCAAGTGTGTGGTCTGAGGCTGGATTTGAGCTCAGGTCCTCCTGACTTCAGGGCCAGCGCTCTATCCACTGCGCCACCTAGCTGCCCCTTCTCTTACATATTTTAAAGTAGAACACCATTGCCGTAAAACTTTTCTTTGTAGATTGTGTACAGCAACCTGAATCCTCTTCCCATTCTGAGGAACATTAAAGTTAACAAGGTTTTATTATTCTTATTAGTAGTAATTTAATAAATGTTAATTTTAATTTATGTGAATTAGAAGCCTGAAATGAATTGCCAAAAATACATTTTTTGGCTTGCTTCTGAGTTTCATTCATTATTTTTTCCCTTACACACCCGTAGTTTATACTTAAAACATTTCTTGTTTAAATGAACTTGGCCACATTAATAAAGTAAAGCCCAGATTTGGTCAGTGGGAAGTTGTGCTCTGCTCCAGCTTTGAGAGTTTGGTAGTTGCACTTTTCAGCTGCCCTCTATTCCAGTAAAGACATTGAAGTTTGGTAGAAGATTGCTGGTTTTGGAGGCAGGAGCCTGAGCTCCAGTTTGGACTCAGATATCTGTTAGCTCTGTGACTCTGGGCAAAGTATTGCACTTCTGTAAGCCTCAGGTTCTTCTTTTGTAAAGTGATGATAATATTTTTACTATCTTCTTGTTAAGAGAATGGAAGCTGCCCCAGTGTACTTGCAGCAGTCTAAGCGTCAGGTTCATAGATGCACGTTCAAACAGAATAGTACTTGACTGTTTATATAATTCGTTTTGGTGTTTATTTTTATTATAAATTTAGTAGAAATAAAATGAATGATTGTAAAGATTGGTGACCCTGTAGTGAAAAATAATAGTACAAGTTTGAACATGAACAAAGAAAGATCTGGACTAATTGGAAAATGAGAAACTCTTTAGGCTAAGGACTCTTTCATTTTGTTAGGGTCATTTTTTGGAAATTGAGATTTTTTTTTTGTGTAATTTTACCTGTAGAGAATGAAATGTTTGAATTTGTCCATAGATCACAAGGAATACAACACCGATGTACAGGACACCAGAAATAATAGACTTATACTCAAACTTTCCAATTGGTGAAAAGCAGGATATTTGGGTAAGAACTGCTGTTCCTTCATGTGAATGGGTGGCTAGAAGGCAGCACTAGAATAATTTTGATTTTTGTGTTCCCATGACATTTGAGTTGTTATAAAGCAGCTACATGTTTCCCTGTGTCCACGTGAGTACACAAATGAGGATGAGATTTAGAGTTGTATCCCCGAGTCCCATGGTTCTGCCTTCATTTTTAAGATCTGCTGTTTCTGATTGGTAGGAGATCATTAACTGGTAATGGCCAGAGCACATTGCTGGGTCTGGAACATTTTGGCAGCATCACCAGACAGATCCCTACGGGTCATAGGCCATCATAAGTTTTGAACATTGGAATGTTCCACGAATAATAATTTGGATTCCAGGAGATTGTAGGACCATCAGCAGAAATGGAATTTGGCCTTATTTCTGATTTCTGTGTAACGTAGCATATTAATACATGTATAAATGCACTCATATACATATGTACACATTCTGTCTTTAAATGCTGAGTTTTAATGAAAAAAAATCATTTGAAAGTAAAGATTTCATAGCATTCCTCCAGTCCAGTGGATCAAGGCAAGGAGTTCTAATGATGCTTCTTTTCATCATTTTGCACAGGTGTGGTTGGATTTCAGTTTTATTTTTTAAAAATTATCAGTATCCCTTATGTTAGTTAGGGCTAATTCTTTGGCTCCAATTAACATCTGTGACAAGGGCCTCTACCAGCTTGGAGACTCACTGAGCTTTTCAGCAGAAATGTTCTTTCCTCAGCTGCTTCTTTTGGAATACAGTCTTACTGAGGTCAAGCCTTGGTCAGTTTGGCTCTATGCTCAGTTTTATATATATGAAAGCTTGTGGAAGAGAGACATGTGCTTCAGTGTTCTCATGACAGCCTCTCTTACCATATAGGAATGACTTTGTCTTTTTTTATGCTTTTGGCTTTGAGAACCATGATCATGGTAAAGTAAATTATCCAATGCCGTAACAATGTACCTTAAAGACAGAAACATAGGAAAGTCATTCTTACGTTTCAAGAGTAACTGTCATCAGAATATGGTTCGGCATCTCTCTGTTCCCTAAGCCTCTTCAAGCAGAAAATGTCCAGATATTGTGTCAAGCTCAGTTACCCTCAACTTTGGAAGTTTAGAACTCTTGAATAGAGAGGAGGTCTGTATTTTATCATCAGAAGAAAGTCCATGTAATTTGCCTGCCATTTTTTAATTCCAAGAGACACTAGGATATAGTGGAAATAGCTCTGGGCCTAGAGTCAGAGCTCCAGGTCTGAATTTTAGCTGTGTATGACATTATATCTTTGGGCATTGGCAATTCTGAGCTTCCATTTCCTCCTTTGTAAGGTGGGGACAATCCCTACTCTCCCTGGCTCTTGTCAGAAAAGTACAGAAACTTGACAGGCTTAGACTTTTGAGTAGTTAAATTAGCAGCTTTCCTAACTGCCTTTGTACTTTGATAGGCACGTTAGGTTTATGTTTAGAATTAGTTACATTTGACCCTAACTCAAAAGAAAAGTATTTTATTGAATGGTGATTACCACTTAGAAAGGTTACCTGAAAGGAGTGGGTGAAGAGAAGTGTTGTGTGCTAGAATAATATATGCAGTCAGAAAAATATTCACATTCCTTTTCTAGACTGATATTTGAATAGGTCTAGTTTACTAACTGTACTTTAGCTTCTGTGCACTAGTGATCTTCTTTCTGTTTCCACTAATTTTTCAATAGGCCTTGGGCTGTATCCTATACCTGTTGTGCTTCAGGCAGCATCCTTTTGAAGGTGGAGCAAAACTTCGGATAGTTAATGGAAAATACTCAATTCCACCAAATGACACAAGATATACGGTTTTTCATGACCTCATTCGTAAGTTGAAAATCTGAATTTACAATAGACAGTTTTTAAACAGTTGAGGAACTCTAGAGAAAAGGCAAAAGTCAAGTTGGCTAAGGCTTCATGGGTATCGCTTGGAAGCTGCAAGTTTTCTGAAGCCACAGTCAAGGAGTTGGGAGTCTTTGTTACTCCACTGCTCCATGGGCTTTTTTTGTGCCTTTTGGCACAAAAGGGGTTGTGGGATGAAGGAAGTAGTAGAGGAAATAGCCACAGATCAGGCAATACGGTTGTAGGAGAGCATGGAATAGCTAGTTTGAGTCTTCCTGTTACCACCTTCAGTTGAAAGATCCATAGAATTATTATGGATGACTAACAGTCCTGACAATTAATATAGGAGCTCATTTCAGCCCTCTTCTGGGTATGTCAGATTGCTCCCTAATGATTTCATAGTGTGGACCCAACCCTTAAAAGTTCAAAGATTAGAACCATTCCTTAAAGGATGAGAAAGATTTCAGTAGATGGAGATGGGGGAGGGAGTGGGCAGAACAAGGCATGGGTAGATGGTGTAAGAGCTCAACCCTATGACATGGCAGAATGATCTTATGAATATTTGAGTAGTCTGGTTGGGCTGGAGTATAGACTGTAAGTAGAGTCATGGAATCTTAGCCCTGGAAGCAATCACAAAAAATTTCCTTCTACAGTATTCTTGACTTGTATCCTCTACTTAAAAACATTCAGTGATGAGAAACTCTCTAGCTCCAGAAGTAGTTTATTCTACTGATGAACAGTTATAGTTGTTAATCTTTTTTTTCTTGATTAAGCTGAAATTTGCGTGTTTTAAGTCCAACTATTTTTCCTTTTCTTTTTTTTTAATTAATTTATTTTGATTTATCAACAATTACTTCCATATGCTTTTGAGTTTGAAATTTTTCTCCCCCTTCCTCCCCATCACCCTCCCCAAGATGGCGCACAATCTCATATAGCCTATACATATATATTCCTATTAAACATATTTTCACATTAGTGATGTTGTAAGTAAGAATTAGAACCAAAAGGAGGAACCACCAGAAAGAGGAAAGAAAACTCAACAGAAGAAAAAAATATAGCAAACAGTTTGCTTCGATGTG